GGCAATGGATTCATGGTCATCGTTAGACTCTGCCATGGCGGGATACGAATCCAGGTCCCCAGACCATTACCTGGGCCTCTAGATTAACAGTCCAGCGATAATACCACTAGGCCATCACCTTCCCTGTGCACATTTGCGCATATTTACAAAATCAATCTGACATAATGAAGTTAACATGTAGGAGTGCTGAACAGCATCATTCCTGTGCCTATTTTCAGGGGCACAGCCAGAACACCTACACTTGGTTCTGCAGGAAATTTGTGGTTCCTGTTTATTGTGCTTGCACAGCAGAATGAAAGGGCAGAATATCAGGTGTACGGAGGGTGGGGCAGCGACAGCACTGCAGTGGTTAAAAAAATGAAGTAGTAGAGGAACAGCATAACTTGGGAGGGAGGAGAACGAGGAAACACAAGATTATTGTGGGAAGGAAGGGAAGCAGGGCGTCAGGAACCAAAGCAGAAGTGAACACTGCAGTCAACACCTGAATGCTGCCTCACAGTGCCAGGGGCCCAGGTTCAATTCCAGCCTCGGGTAACTGTCTGTGTGGAATTTGCACGTTTTTCCCTCCCACAGTCCATAGATGTGCAGGCTAGGGGGATTAGCCATGGAAATTGCAGGGTTATGGGGGGGGGGGGGTCTAGGTGGGATGCTTTTCAGGATCAGTGTGGACTCGATGGGCCGAATGGCCTGCTTCCATGCTGTAGGGATTCTATGAATCCTGATGGGCTGGACCACGGCATCACACTAATTCAATCCATGGGACATTGTAAAAGGATCAAGAACCAAAGGGCACAGATTTAAAGTGATCTGCAACTGGAGCAAAAGTGACGTGAGGGGAAAAAAACCCAGCTTTCACCCAGAGGGTAGTCAGGGTGTGGAATGCACTGTCTGGAAATGTGGGCGAGGCAGGTTCACTTGAGGCAGTCGAGAAGGGCAATATGAAAGGGTATGGGGGGAAAAGGCAGGAGATTGGCACGAGGTGATGATATGCATTCAAACAACTGATGCAGACACAACAGGCCAAACAGTCTCCTTCTGTGCTGTAACCATTCAGATTCTGGGAACTGGATATCAAGAGTATGCCAGCAAAAAAACCCATGCTTGTTATGCAATCAAAATCAGTTGTCTCAGCATATTCCAATTCTTTCATTCAGCTAATAGCTTTCAAAATGGTCCTTACCTTTCAGCTTTGTCGAACTTTTCTTTTCAACCTGGGTTTTTTTTTCTCAGGATTTTCTGGTGATTCTCCTGACAACAAATAAGACGGTGTTTGAGGAATACGGAAACCAGCCTGCAGTATGACTGTGTGTAGCATGTTGGGCATGGAGTGAACGATACCTTCACAATGCCAATGCATTGAAACAGCACCACACAGCAGACAGGGATCCATCGGGATGGGACAGCACCAGGGAGGCTCCATCACACTGACACACCACTGCTTCGGAACTCGCTGCCTGCGAGAGTGGAGCATGAGGTGACAACGAATGATTTAATATGATTAGAAATAAATGTACAGGGCCGTAGTGATACAGTGGAGAGGAACGGGACTAATCAGAGTGATCTTCAGAGAGCTAACATGGACTCAACGCACTGAACTGCGTTCTCCTGTGCCATATGGGGAGGCCCTAGTGGCATTATCGCTAGACTTCTAATGTTCTGGGGACCCAGGTTCGAATCCTGCCATGGCAGATGGTGGAAGTTGAATTCAATACAAATCTGGAATGAAGAGTTTATGATGACCATGAATCAATTGTCCATTGTCAGGAAAAACCCATCTGGTTCACTAATGCCCGTTAGTGAAGGAAACTGCCATCCTTACCTGGTCTGGCCTACAAGTGACCCCAGACCCACAGCAATGTGGTTGACTTGTAACTGCTCTCTGGGCAATTAGCAATTGGCAATAAATGCTGGCCTAACTAGTGATGCCCATATCCCGTAAATGAATTTTTAAAAAATGATGAGCTTATGACACTGGGGCACCACTGCATTGGTCCCTTGCATTTTTTTGGTGGTCTGTCTTTCTAACTGGCAAAGGCATTATAAAAAGATGTCAGAGCCTTTAACAGACTGCAGTACATCTGAATTTGGGAACTGCTAAACATAAAGACACAAAGGTCCATCAGGTTCACCATTTTGCCAGTTGTGTGACACAATGTTAATGGGAACCGACAATTCAATGTAAAGATCAATAGCCATTAATTGGTTGATGAGAAACAAGATGCAAAATGAGGAAAATTAGCTCTCCATAGATTTCCTAACTATCTTTCATTTCAAGCCAACAGATGAACTGTTCAATCTTTGGCTGTTTGCCAAGCATAACATTAGCTACTCAATTTGTTTCTGTTCTAGTATTTACATAATAACTAATTGGCTGGAAAGCACATTTGTGCTAAGAGGCACAATACCTAAATGCACTTACATTTCTGATGCTGATCATTACAGTATCTTTGTAGCAGTGTTATGAAAAGGATTGTGGGCAATAGGGAGAGATGATTGATCCAACAGTGGAAGTCATTCCAACACTATACAGGTCTGGGAATAACAAAATGATACATGGCAACAGTGGGAGGGCAAGGGTTAAGACTTTCATGGACAAAGTGAGAAGATAGGGCCAATTTATAATTTTTATTTGACAAAATACGTCATTGATATGACATCATGTGACAAAGACATATCTCAGAGTAACAAACATGATTTAATCTCATTTTGCACAGCGACCTTTGGGGACTTGATTGATTTGCGGTTTATCATTCTAAGTCACACCACCTCTTGGGTTACCAAGTACCTCACTCATTATATATACAGATATGTACACTTTATAAAACGTATCAAACAATGCTGTTTAGGGTCAGCCCCTCCATCCACTGCTGAATGATTGGCTGGACCTGAAAGAAGAAGAAAAGCATTGAGGCAGAATAAAACACATGCATTCAAAACAATCCGGTGCTGAACAGCAATCCAGCAACTCTCAGAAATTAACTGTTTGCTTCTTGACTACTGGCGAAACTTCCGAAGGTGCAAACTGTATATCCCCTATCCCCCACTTAAGTCATCTGTTTAACTCAAAGACATAACACAAGCCTCAATTCTTTATTTTGGGGGGAGTGGGATAATGGGCATGCTTGCTTATTCTGCTCTTTTAACCCTGCAAAACTTGCCCACAGCGACTGTACAAACTCTCTCCCCATTCCTGCTAAAGGTGGAAGTAAATTGATTTCAATCACGTGGAAAGACTCCAGAAGTCGGGACTGTCCATCTCAGAAGAGAGGGGGTCACAGGGGAGATTTTACAAATGAGTTCCAAACAGTCTCCTCCCGTGCCAAGCAATGCTACAAAACAAGGAAGGATTTCCTAAGCTGCAAATCTGCATCAGGAAAACACCATTCTTGATTTCAGCTGCTTGTTCTCTCCTGCTCCTTCACTCAAATCTATTATAAAGTGAACTCATGAAAACCAGGGAGAGGAAAAGGACAGTCGGTCAACTGGGCCACGGTGAGTCACAGGCAGACAGAGCGGGTACCAAACAATCAGGGAACTTACTGGTAGAGGAAGGGGGTCTTTCTGGGATGGGCAGGCAGGAGAAATGAGGGCAAATTTAATAAAATCCCTAGGAATTTCTTTACAACTGCGATCAAGATTTCCTGGTTGTAACTGGGAGAGGCATTCCCTAAAAATTCCACCTTCTAGACGAGTCTGAGAGGGTGATGAATTTGTCTTGGAGGCTGATTGTTTCGGATTCAAGAATCACTCCAGGGATGAGTTTAAAATTTAGGCTGAAACTCTCTCTTGCAGCACAGCAGGAATACTGCACAGTCAGGGGTGCCATAAGATCAAGACCCAAAACTACCCACTCAGGTGGCCATAATAGGCCCCGTGTCTCCTTATGAAAAGGAGAGTTTGCCCAGTGTCCTGGTCAACTGTTCCCCTGCAATCAAAAATCACTCAAAATAAAACTAAATTGCTGTGTTCATGTTGTTACAGATGGGAACTTCCTGTGCCAAACTGGCTGCCATGTTTTTCTGTATGACAATACTGACCACATTTGAAAAACACTTAAAATGCCTGAGGTGCTTTGGAATGTTCTGAGGTTATTAAAGGTGCTTCAGAAATGTATCTTTTTTCCTCAGCTGGTGTTAGCCTTGTGCCAATGGGAGCCAACTGGGATGTCATCATGACAATTCCTTCGTCACTCGGTGTGAAGTATGGATAGTCCCCACACGCAGTGGACAGCTGGTGGTCTTTTCCTGACTTAGTTTTGGGATTGGGAGTGGGGGTGGGCACCGTTCCCTGGACAACTTCCTACCCGCAGATCTGAATTCAAGTAACTTGGCAAATCCCAGAGACTGGCATCTGCAACATCTTGACATTCTACACCTTTAGGAGCGGACGAAGATATTTCTGATCACATCCAAAGGTTTCCTGAATTTTAAAAATGGAACATTCAATATAAATAATCCACAGTAAAATTCCATTCATTTACCTTGAGTATAACATTGAGTATAGGAATTGGGTTGTCATATTGTGGCTGCGCAGGACATTGGTGAGGCCACTTTTGGAATAGTGCGTACAATTCTGGTCAGCCTTCTATAGGAAAGGTGCTAAACTTGAGAGGTGCAGAAGAAATTTACAAGCATGTTGCTGGGACTGGAGGGTTTGAGTTATAGAGAGAAGTTGAACAGGCTGGGGCTTTCTTCCCAGGAGCATTGGAGACCGAAGTGTGACCTTATAGAGGTTTATAAAATTATCAGGGGCACGGATGGGGTGGATAGCCAAGGTCTTTTCCCCAGGGTAACAGAGTCCAAAACTAGAGGGGCATAGGTTAAGGTGATAGGGGAAAGATTTAAAAAGTACTCAAGGGGTAACTTTTTTTTTTACATAGAGGGTGATGTGTGTATGGAATGAGCTGCCACAGGAAGTGGTGGAGGCTGGTACAATTACAACATTTAAAAGGCATCTGGATGGGTATATGAATAGGAAGGGTATAGAGAGATATGGGCCAAACGCTGGCAAATAGGACTAGGTCAGATTTGGATGTCTGGTTGGCATGGGGGAGTTGGACTGAAGGGTCTGTTTCTGTGCTGTATGATTCTATGACATACTGGCTGTAGTAAGATTTGCTTTGTAGAGCCAAGCAGGTTCAATTTTTGCTATTATTTTCCTTTAAATAGAATGTGATTTTGACTCAGAACATCCTCTTCATCTGGTAGCTGGTTGCAGCCTGTTGCTTCAGCAGGAGCCACTCAATCTCACTACCTGATCAGGTATTCTGACACCAAGAGATTTCTCAAGGGTCAGATTAAACTGTTGAGACATGAAAAGCCAATTCCATAATGTAACATCACACAAGTTCAGAATGCAAAAGGACAGTCATGGTTTAATCAATCACAGGACAGTTTATTGGTGAATTTCCTTGTTCTGGCCTGACCCTGACTAATTGCAATCCTGTATTAGGCAAACTGCACAAAATGTCATGAACAGCACATTACACTCACATCTCATACGATTCCCTGTAAGGGAACAGCTGCTACAGGGTTTGACAGGCAAAGGGAGGAGGTTTGATGGTACTCTGTGCATTTTTCCTCACTGCTCTGATCTCTGCCACAGGAACATAGTGGACGCCTGGTTCCATCAGTCAGCTGTTGTTGGACTAGGATTGCAGTCCCGACATGGTCTTTCAATGTGGGCTTGGCGCTGATTGAATGATTTTATAAAATGTGAATCAATAATAACTGGGTAAATTCGGAATTCGGCTTCTTAATGAAAACTGGAGCTGGATCAATTGAACTCAGCAACTTTGAATTGAGTCAATTGTATCACATTATATATTAAATACTTTTATTGAAAGATCTGATGCTAAGCTGTATTTATGTTTTCATATAAATATTTTACAAATAACTTTCATCAACAAGTGCTAATCTACAAAAGCCTTCCTAAATCTAACAGATCTCAGCTGTGTCATGTTGAATGATGGCCTTTGAGTGCTGTGCCTAGTTCTGGTCTTCAAATTATAAAAGAAACTCAAAGAATCACCTGAAAAGGTATAAAAAATATTAATTTACAAGAACGATATCGGAGCTGAGGGGTTAAGACTGAACAGGCTGTGGGCTTTCTCTCTATAAATGTATGAGGGGTGACCCAAATGAGATGTTAACAATTACTGAAGGGTTTTGGTAGGGTGAACATAGAGGTGTTTTCACTTGTGGGGATGTCTAAAACAAGAGATTCCAAAATAAGACAGTGACTAATAAACCCAAGAGAGAATTTATCACTACAATTACACTGGGTTTACATTTATATGGTACCTGCGAAATGTGGTAAAATATTCTATAATTCTTCATAGGAGCTTTATCAAGCTAAATCTGCTAAAAAGCCTCATAAAAAATATTAGGACCAACATCCAAAAGCTCAGTTGAAGAGGCAGGTTTTAAGAATTGTCTTAAAGGAGGGGAGAGTGACAGAGAGGTGGACAGGGTTAGGAAAGATATTTCAGAGGTTGCAGCTCAGGCAAGCGAAAGCACAGCGAATAGAGGATGTGCAAGAGGTCTAAACTGAGGGAATGTAGAACTGTCCAAGGCTTGGTCACAGAAAGAATATGGCTTTGGAATGAGTTAAAAGCAAACTGGATAATTTTAAAATAGAGTTAGTGCCAGACTGAAAGATAATGTAGGGCAGGAGTGATGACAGAATGGAATACATCAGGAAAAACGTCAAGGTTAGATTGTGTCACTTGAGGTGGATGAGGTGAATAGCATAGATATGTTTAAGGAAAAGTTGAAAAAAAATAAACACAAGCGAGAGTGAAATAGGTTATAGGACAGTATGAGATACAGAGAGGCAGGATGCAGATTTGAGGACAGCCTTCAAGCCCTAATCAGCCAGAACAGAAATAGCGTTGTTCGTCATTCAGAAGGAAGAAAATGGGCAGACACAACAGAGGGGATAAAACAATTTAAGATGATGATGAGGTAAATCAGGGAGCAATGCGCCAGTGACTGAAAATTCGATCATTAACAGCTCAATCTTAGAAGAAACAATAAAGGGGAAGTCCAACAGAGCGCAGACCAGGACAGATGGTAAAATAAAACCATTCAAAGTTGAAAGAGACTGAAAAAAAAAGGAGAGAAACAATGCAGAGGATGTTGGAAGATGCAAGTTGCAGTGGCTTCAGCTATGAGAAGGTAATATTTATTCTAGATTCCATAATTTGAGTTGTCAACTGCTTTTGGATCCAATGTCTAGGCTCAACAGCCAGTCAAAAGAGAGAAGGTGAACAGCTGCGTATTTCTGAGGGAGATAGTCTGGGAGCTTCTTACTGCTTCCCCAATATAAAAACATTTACAACAAACCATATCCCTTTAACAATCCCCAGATCATTTCAGCAGTGAACTCAGTATCTGACATTACATGTCAATTTGAATGCAGTTATTTCGCCAAAGTGATTGAAAACAGTAAATAACTGGGAACAGATGATGTGCAGGGGATGAAAGGATCTGTTTAAGTTGTATTCTAAAGAAGACACCTCGTCACAATGTGTTAAGTTCAACAAGTCTGAGCGCACACTGCATCAACTGTACAAGCTCATCATGATTATTAACCTACACAGGCAGATTGTGAGTCAGTATTTACAATCAGGTTACAACTTCCATCCAATGTGTGTCAGGAACCAAATTTTCTTAAATAAAACCTACGAACCTTTAGAAGTCTTTACTTTGCAGCAAAGTTTAGATCCAAACTTTACTATTTTAATGTCATTTGGTGGGACTTTCCTGGAAGGGGCCTCAGCATTTGAATATTTTTAAGGCAGAGGTAGATGGATTCTTGATGACAGGGCAGTCAAGGGCAGTTTGAATGGAGTTGAGGTCACAATCAGACTAGCCATGATTTTATTAAATGGGGTGCAGGCTTGATGAGTGCCGAATGGCTCCTGTTTTGTATATATTTTTAAACGTATGTATGGTAAACCTGTAATTCAGATTGGAAACACCTCTCAGAAGGGCTTTTGATATTTTTATTCTGCAACTAAAACGCTTCAATGTCAGGTGCCAGCTGCAGTTCATTGCAGGAACATCTGCCTGTCTGGTGGACTTTATAATCCAGGCTAACCCTCTCAGTGCAGCACTGAAGAGATGCTGCACTCGTCATTTCTCTGAAAGGATGTTAAACAGAGGGTCCACTGGCACCCTCGGGTAGACATAAACAATCCCAGAGCCACGCTGCGGGCAAACAGCAGCAGGACAATTTTCCTCAGTGCCTCGGCAAATATTTATCATTCAATGAGGAGGCACGGTGGCTCAGCGGTTAGCGCTGCTGCCTCACAGCGCCAGGGATCTGGGTTCAATTCCACCCTCGGGTGACTGTCTGTGTGGAGTTTGCACATTCTCCCCGTGTCTGCGTGGGTTTCCTCCAAAGATGTGCAGGTTAGGGTGGATTGGCTGTGGGAAAATGCCCATAGTGTTCAGGGATGTGCAGGCTAGGTGGGTTAGCCAAGGGAAACGTAGGGTTACAGGGATGGTGTAGGGGGTTGGGTCTGGGTGGGATGCCCTTCAGAGGGTTGGTGTGGGCTCGTTGGGCCAAATGGCCTCTTCCCGCACTGCTGGGATTCTATTCTATTCTAACCTACAAGATCACCTGATCAGACGTTTTGAGAGATCTTGGTGTGCACTGATAAAACAAAACAGAAAGCAAAGTGGAATGTTCGGCCAAATAGGATCAAAATTGAAGCTTTACGCAAACCATGTATACTCAGCCAGAGTGCTTTGAAAGACACTGCGATTTAGTCAGGGGGTTCCTGTACTTTCACTAACAAGCTGGAAATCTAAATCGAACCAGGTGAAAATGATTATTTTCAGACCTTTAGCTTCCCACCTGCTTATTGTATAATAAAGTCTATTCCTCCACTGGTTAACTTTTTATTGAACTTCGTAGCAAAACAACAAAACACAACAATCCTCTTACAGAAATACAGAAGACAGTGGACACACCACACAAAGAGCAAAGTCAAAACAGCATCTAAATGCACAGCTGGGAAAATTGCCTTTTAACCGATAAAGGGGCTGGCCACATTTATTTTTGTTGGTCTGGCTCGATCAGCAGGCAAGGGTTAATATGATTCCAGGTTCTGGTATCAGTTAGAAATGAACGTTCAGCCTCATTACTTACTGATTTGTGGATCCAAAACCACTTCCAAACCCTGAAAATAATTAAATAAGAAAAAAAGAAGAAATTAGTCTCGCCTTGCATAGGTACTTCCCAAAAATCACTCAAATACAAAAGGCAAACATCAAGTTGACTTTATACAGTCACTTCACCGCATCTGATAATTGAAAAGAACTACACAGCCAATGATATGCAGTCACTGCCCTAACGCTGAGAAATGCAACACCCAATCTACACGTAGCAACAGGCCAATAACAACAATGAAATGCACAAACAAATTGCTTGGTTTTTTAGTGAATCTGGTGGAAGGATAAATATTGACCCACAGGGGTAAGCTCCCCTGCTCTTTTGAAGGCGGTGCTGTGGGACCTTTGATATCTGCTTGAGTGGGCAGAAGGAGCCCCTTTTTCATACCACATAGCAAAAACAGCAGCTCTGACAGTGTAATACTCCCCAGACAGCGTGCTAGTCATCAGAAGAACATCCAAAATAGGGGCAGTAAGCCAGGAACTGTAATCACCCCTCGAGCCTGCTCTATGTTCAATAAGGTGGTGACTGATCAGCTACCCAGATTCACTTTCCCATCTGATGCTTTTGTGTCCCAAACATTGACTGATTAGTTTTGAATGTGTTTGATGAGTGAACACTTACAGAACTGAGGTAGAGCACTGCAGAGATTCACAACCCCTGGAGAAATTATTTACCTCAATCCTAAAAAGATCGAATGCTTTCAAGATGGAGATAGGTACAGTTCTTACGGCTAAGATGACGAAAGGGAAAGTGAAAGTGCAAACAGGAGACTGAGTTGGTTGATCAGCCAAGATCAAATTGAATGGCAGAGCAGACCTACTCCTGTTCCTATTTTCTATGTTTCTAAGAGCCAATTGTTTATCTTGAGATGACTCCTAGTTTAGACCCTCTAGTCAAGGGGAACAGCCTTTCAGCTTGGATTCAAGTTCCTGAAGCAAACAGGGGTAAACAAGTGCGGGGAATTAGCTCAAATGGTAGAGCACTCGCTTAGCATGCGAGGGGTAGTGGGATCAATGCCCACATTCTGAGGGGCAGCATGGTGGCTCAGTGGTTAGCACTGCTGCCTCACAGCGCCAGGGATCTGGGTTCAATTCCACCCTCGGGCGACAATCTGTGTGGAGTTTGCACATTCTCCCTGTGTCTGCGTGGATTTCCTCCAGGTGCTCTGGTTTCCTCCCACAGTCCAAAGATGTGCAGGCTAGGTGGATTGGCCACACTAAAATTGTCTGTAGTGTTCAGGGATGTGTAGCTTATGTGGGTTATAAGGGGATGGGTCTGGGTGGGATGCTCCAAGGGACTTGTTGGGCCGAAGGGCCTGTTTCCACACTGTAGGGATTCTATGTGAATGATTCCTGCTTCAAAACCACCACAGAAACAAAAGCTACCATGATTACAGCAATCACTTCAACAGCTCAATTGCCAGCACAGCGTCCTGGGAAATATGACCCAGACTTTCTCACTGATTTATGATGTGAACTACTGAACCATTTTCAAATTAGAACAGGATATGGAATAAGTGGAACAGAAATTATTTCCAAGATTTTGGAAACTACACTGGAATCTGAACAGTTTCTGCTGTTCATTTTTACCAGCGAATCTGCCAGATTGTGAAGGGATCCCTTCACTCAATTAAGTGTCAGCTAGAGCTTTCTGGCCAGAGTCATAAGACTGTAGCTTCAGGAGACAAGAGTACAAAAATTACGCTGACATTCCTGGTGCAGTTGAGGAAAAACTGTGTTGGCCCGGGAGGATGTGAAAAGAATCTGTTACTCTACTTTGAAGAGCAGAGAAGTTAGCCTTGGTTGTCTGGTAAATATTTATCCCTAAATCCACATCACTGAAAACAGACCGTGTGCCAATTAGTACAGTGTTCTAAGGGAAGGTGGGCATGAGGGAGACCGAGTGCATGAGAGTGTGCATGGGGGAGAATGTACACACGGGACAGTGAGCTGTAAGTGTGCGTGTTAGTTGTGAGAGTGTGCAAATGTAAGAGTCTGAGTGACAGTGTGTGCATGTGTGACTGAGTGAGAGAGGGGGAGAGAGTATGAGAGAGAGAGAATGTGTGTGAGAGCGAG